AGCCTGCAGCGCTTCCTCCCAGGACTTACCCAGGAGCACCGTCTGCACGAGCTGCGCGGCGAATCGCGGACGCCCCACGAGGATGTGCACCTGGGCGCGTTCTGGGGGGCTCTGCAGAAACCCCCGGGCGTACTTGAGCGCTTCGTCCGTGGTGAAGGGGGGGAAGTCGGTGAAGGACGTTAGCTGAGCGGCACCCATCTCACCGACGGCAGAATCGAGCTGCTGCGCCAGGCGGAGGCTGAGTCCCGTGCCTGCACGAACCAAAGGCACCCCATTACTCCGAGAAACTCCCGGAGGATGCGAGTTGCACTCAAGCAAGAAGGGCCAGATCAGTGACTGCTGGACGGCCTGCATATAAAGACTGACTTCGAAGACAATTGGCAAGGTCCAAGAATTACTGCGCTGCAGACAGAGGGCTGATATGCGCTGAGCGATATCAAGCAGATGAGTGCCAAAGAGCGTCAACCTGCCATGGGGGCTGACTGGTTTTTCCAGGACGAACCCGGCAGGTTGAAGTGAAAGTGCGTGAAGATGTTATGATGCAGGCTCCGAACCAAGCCGTTCAGCAACGGCCGCCCCTCCATCCCGTCACGGCTCGGAAAGTACCCGTCCATCATCCGCATCCCGGCTTGCGCCTCATCCAGGAAGGTGTTGAAGAAGTCCTGATTGGTCAGCCTTCGCAGCTCCTCTACCGTCGCTTGCAGCTTCTGCTCCACCGCCTCCCGCGACACGCTCAGCAGGCAACCCCAAGTCGTCAGCAGCCAGTCCTGAAAATACAACAGACGCCCATGAGCGACTCTGGAGCAGCAAAGAAGGTGATGGCAATGAGATGCTACAATGCAGACTGCGGAGGGGAGAAAGTGCGAGAACAAGGTCAAACTTCAGAAGCTATTGCAGGAGCAAAGGGACTAGCATCGTTTGATGTCTGAACCCCTGCCCCAAGAAGCTAATCTCCCCAGAAACAAGCAGTCCTCACCTCCTGTGCACTGATGCCGATGAGCTGGAATAGGAGGAAGCCCTTGGGGCTGGCTTTGTCTCTGTGCTGCCTGAGATACTCGCGGAGGCCCAAAGCAAACGCCAGCAGGATGCGGGCGATGAACTTCCTCATGTCATGGAGCCGCTGGTCGCGGAACTCTCGCAGGCGAGGACCGTCAGCCTCGACTGCCTCGTATTGCTGCCCATGCGTCTCACGGAGTCTATCGATGGCCTGCCGCAGGATGTTTGTCCCGGGCTCCTTCTCCGTGGAGAAACTCAAGTAAAAGCTGTACTCA